TTTGAGGCTTAAATGTCTTAGAGTAGTGCTGAGGAGATAGCTCAGTGGCTTAAATGCCTGCCTGGCAAGCTCAAGGTCCAAGTTTTATCCCTGGTACCCCCCCCCAAAAAAAAAAAAAGTCTTAGAGTAATTTCTGTGCTAATCAGTAGATTGTGGTGTGGACTTGGATTCAGCCTTTGGACAGAGGTATATGAGAAGAAGTGAGCAAAACTGGCTCCCAGTGCTTTTTTTTTTTTTTTTTTCCCCAGTGCTTTTAAAAATGTTGCTATACATTTGGATACATTATGAAAAGATTCATTAGGAAAATATCTCATTTTTGACTTTTTCATAGTAAAGAAAATGGTCATAAAGCCTTTTTACCTGGGTAGGGTCAAGGTAGGGGTTGTAGGAACTACAAATGTAGGAAAGAGAAATAAAACCAGGTTGGTGACACACACCTGTAGTCCCAGCATTCTGGTATGCTGAGGCAGGAGATCTCAAGTTCGAGACCAGTTTGGGTAACTTAATGAGACCCTCAAAATAAAAAACAAAAAGAGGTAGGGAATGTCACTCAATCTGAAGGCCCTGGTTTAATTCCTAATACCAAAAAGGGATTGTGAATAGGCTTACTGCTTTTATTTCCCAATTTAAAGAAAATAGAAGCAATTCTTGATCTCCCTACCACCACATAAATCTATTTATCCATGTCAGTACTCATATGGTACTCATATGCTTTGCCTTCTCTCTTTTTTTAGAACTCATAAGGTGTCTCAACTCTGATGAGCTGGAACTCATAAGGGCCAGCCCAGTAGCTCAGTGGATTAAAGTGCCTGCAAGCAGGCACAGGGGCAGGGTTCGATCCCCAGGCCTGTTGTGCTGGCCCTGCCCCCAGGGTGCACCGAGACAGCAATTGAGACTGGGCATGGTGGTACGTGCCTCTTGGGAGGCTGTAAACAGGTGAATCACTATGAGTCTGATCTAGTAGGAGACCCTGAATACCCAGTAGACCCTTCCCTAAAAAAAAAAAAAAAAAAAAAAAACCACCTCTGATGAAAGGCCAGTCTTCCACATACATGTTTTGGTTTCTATCTTTATTACTTGAGACATTTGCTCCTGCAATTTTCTATTCTTGGGCCTGGGGAAATTGCTCAGTAGAATAAGCACTTGCTTGGCAAGGGCAGGGTCCTGAGTTCAATACCTGGTACTGAAAAAAAAAAAAAATCTCCTCTCTGGAATCATTTATTTTTCTCTACTAGCTCCTTCCCTTCAGCATACAAATATGTTCTACTATCTTCAGCCCAAAATGTAAGAAAATGCTCCCTTGACATTCCAACTATCTCCCTTTTACTATTATTGTAAGGATCCACGGGTCTCAGTGTGATCCATTCTAACTGGGGAGAAATGACTACATGAAATGGAGACATTTCATTTTCTCAGCACAGCTAAAGAAGACATAGATTAAAAAATATAGAAGAGAATAGAAAAATGATGGAAACACTGAATGAACAATACAGGAAAGAATTAGAATGCATGAAACAGATTCAAACAAATATCCAGGAAATTAAGAATTCCATTGAAAGCTAGCAAAACTGCTTGAATGAAGCTAAAGATAGATTTTCAGACCTTGAAGACAGCATTGTAGCTAATGAAGGTGAAAGGTAAGATCTCTTAAAATTAACAAAGAAATAGGAAATAATTCAGTAGCTAGAAGATGATGCAAAGAAAAATAATATAAGAATAATAGGTGTCCATGAAACAGCTGGAGACAGCACAAATGACATAAAAGTACTACTTGTTAAAGTTCTAGCAGAAAATTTTCCAAATATGAGAAAAAAATCTCAGATACAGAAAAGCAAGGCATATAGAGCTCCAAACAGCCATAATCAAAATAAATCTACACCTAGACACTTAATCAAGATCACAGAAATTCAGAAAAAAAATAGAATATTAAAAGATACTAAAGGGAAGAAACAGATTACCTACAATGGGAAACCCATCAGAATCATGGCAGATTTCTCAACACAAAACATCAAATCAAGAAGAACCAAATAAAAAAGGGGATTCAAATGAATGACCACTTGGTATCTGTATATTCAAAATAGGATAGATATATAGCTGCATTCTCTTAATTCAATGAACAGAGAGATTTATTCTAATAGTGTCTGTGGACAGGATATCATGTCTGCATCTTGTACAATGAATATCCACTAAGAAAACAATATATAATGTATTAATTATTGAAACTGTGGTAGTAGTCGGTTTTGAAACTGTCTCATTACTATTTGTTTCTCAATAAAATTATTTAAAAATAAAAAAGAAATTAACAATGGTTGTTATATTACATATTGTCATCTTCAAAATAGTTGCTCAGATTACCAGATATAGGTACACAAGATTGATTAAACAATCTTAAAAGAACTTGGCTGTTGAATATACAAAGTTGTGGTATGTTTTGCTTTCATTTTTATTTATCTGGATTTTCTTTTCCATTCCATTGGTTCTTTGGAGTTTTGTTTAATTTTTACATATTTATGATTTTCTCCTGTCAATTTCTAGTTTCATTGCATTGAATTTGGAAAATAAATTTAATATGATTTTACATTCTTAAAAAAAAAAGGGGGGGAAAAGTATGGAACCTACAGCAGAAAAATAACACAACTGATGTATAATGGGATACAATGAAAGCTGTCTTAAAAGGAAAATTTATCAGTAAGCTTGCACATTAGGAAAACAGTACAAGCCCAAATAAATTATCTTACACTTTACCTCAGGCTCCTAGAAAAAGAGCAAGTCAAGCCCAAAGCCCAAAGAAGGCAGGAAATTATAAAGATGAGAGCAGACATGAATGCAATGAAGACAAAAGAAGACAATACAAAGAATAAATAAAAGAGTTGGTTGTTTGAATAAATAAAAATGATAAACCCTAAGCCAGTGTGATAAAAAAGAGAAAAACCCAAATTCATGTAATAAGAAATGAAAAGGGCAAAATCACCATAGACCCTAGAGAAATTCAGAAGATCAATATCTACTTCTAAAATCTTTACTCTCACCAAATAGAAGACACAGAAGAAATGGACAGTCTCCTAGATACATATGAAATGCCAAAGCTGAGTCAAAAAGATATACAAACTCTGAATAAACCAATAACAGGAAACGAAATTGAAAATGTAATAAAAAACCTACCAACAAAGAAAAGCCCAGGTCCCGATGGATTAACAGTAGAATTCTCAAGAAATTTAGAAAAGATTTAATGCCAACTTTTCTCAAACTCTTCAATGAAATTGAAAGGGAAGAAATTCTCCCAAACTCATTCCTGAAGGCAAGTATTACTCTGCTTCTAAAACCAGAGAAAGATCCAACTAAAAATGAGGACAACAGAGCAATCTCTCTAATGAATATAGATGCAGAAATCCTCAATAAAATACTAGCAAACAATGCAGCAAATCATCAAGAAGATTATACATCACAACCAAGTGAGATTCATCCCAGGAATGCAGTGATGGTTCAACATACACAAATCCACATAGGTAGTATACCACATCAAAGAGCCAAGGACAGGGGGCCTGGCCCTAGCTCAGTTCTTTAAGTGGCTGCTTCCACAAAGCTGTCAGCCTCAGGTTGCTGTAGTTCGATCCCCACAACACTCCAGCCAGC